GCAGCGCCAGCAGCAGCGACAGCAGCAGCAGCAGCAGCAGCAGCAGCAGCATATTTCAGAGGCACCGTCTCAGTATGAAACTGTATAATAAGCTATTGAATGTCAGAATTTTTCAGTAACAAAAACTGATCCATTCATCCTCTGTGCACTTCCTCTGCGTCAACTTCTGTTCATAACGCTATGTTCTCAGTCTGAAATGTTAGGCCTGGTCGCCATGGCAACCTGAGAAGACTGCACGTCAACCATATGTCAACCTTTAAATTAAAAAATAAATAAATATATTTACAGAAGGGCAAAGGTTTTCAGTGCTGGACATTTACAATGACCTTCAGCAAACTGTCCTGAATGTATGTGTAAATACTGTGATGTGTAAGTTGTTGTAATACACCTCTAAAATATATAGAGGTATAATATATATATAGTAAACTTTGCAGAAAAAAATTATCCTCTAAGGCTTCAGTCGCAAACTAATGTTACATGAAGGATCTTAAAAAAAAAAAAAGCAAACTGCTGCCACTAACATTTCACTGTAGCTTGTTTGGTTGGCTATAAAGTCGTACTCATATTTGTGTATATGTCATTGTGTCAACAGTACCTGAAGTGGGTCTTTAAATAACTTCATTGGTCCAAATTGCACCTCTGTGTACGTGGTCTGTAACCAAAAAGAAGACAAGAGTTAGACACAAACACAAACAAGTCGACCGTCATCTCAACAGAATGTTGTCTGTTGCCAATCAATAACAGGAAGCAGCGACAAGGCACGGAGTTGCTTTGCTGTTAGCAAGCGAGCTAATCAGTCCTTCAGTCTGGAAAAATGCACCAAAAACCAGAGAAGTCACATGTCTTGAGTTTAAGAAAACGACAGAACAAAAAAAAAAAAAAAAAAAGGCAGCTTTTTGTGGAAGTTTTGCCAAAAGCCAAAATGTTATTCAGTTTGTCGATGATATGTTGATATATCTTTGCAACACGGTGACCAGATTTTTGGCCAAAGTGACGGTATGATTTAATTTGGACAAACTGTACAGACGCATTCTGGTGTCACTCGTATCCAGTGACGGTGTGAAAAGAAAATCGGGGCGGCTGTCACTTGGATTGCTTTGACTGACGTTTATCAAACGACAGCAATGTGTCAATCTCACACCGCCTCGTTGGCCGGCTCTTACGAAACTAATTTATGGATTAAAGGATTATTTTATAAGTACAATTCAACATTACCCACATCATTATGACTAAAATGTTGATTTAAAAAATACAACAACAAATGATTGAAAACAATGTTGTTGTTCAGTGTATGAGCTTTAGTTTGAGACCCTTGAACTGGAGCAAGTCACAAACCTTCAACAAGCTTCCTCAGTTACAACACATTTTTTAGATATAGTTCTTAAAATAGACTCAATCTGGATCAGTCTAGATCAGGCGTGGGCAAACTTTTTTGCCAGGTCAGGAGCAGATAGATGCAGCGTTCGTGTGAACTAAGATAAATGACATTATCATTTATCATTTTCTACGCCATCTATTGGGGAAACGTGGCTATTGCAGGGAAAAAGCCGAAGTATAATGATAATACATATGAATTATATAATTTGGAAAAACTTGGCGGGCCGGATTCAAAAGCTGAACGGGCTTCATCCGGCCCCCAGGCCTTAATTTGCCCATTCTTGGTCTACGTTCCTTCATTCCTGGAGTTCTGCTGCTTTGAGGAGGAAGATGGACGACTACCGCCACATGCATTTCCTTTTCATCTGAGGTCACTGATAATCCAATAGTCAAACAGCAGAGGGGAATGTTTTTGATTTGGTTTTTGTCATTTCCTATTAAATCAAAAGATTG